ACACACACACACACACACACACACACACACACCCCCTCCCTCCTCTTTCACACAACACACACGCACAGAGCAATTACTCTTCACAGGAGGAAAAAAGAGCACCAAGGCCATTTTATGGGAGGATGGAAGGAGAAAGAAAGAAGACTATCTTTCTTCTCTTGCTCTTTCATCACTCCTTTTAATATTTTTCAGGGGTTTTCTTTTTTCTTCACAGCCATGTTGCCAGAGGACAGGTGAGAGATGGGCCAGAGCCTTCCGCTGAAATGGATGATGCTAGTGAGCCTGTCTATTTTCTGATGCTCACAGGAAGAAGGAGAGGATGTATAATAAGATATATAATATTTGTATATTTTAGGTGAAAGAAACAAACGTCTCTTCACTGTCTTGGCCACTCGGGATATAACACACAACCCCAGTCTGCTCGTGAGGAATTCTGTTGTGATGATTCACACCAGACTAGACTGGACGCATGCGACAGATGCTGCCTTGAAACATGGGCAAAGCGTAGATCATACCAACATACAACCTCTTTAAAGCACACATGAAACACTGCCATTAGTCTGATCTAACTCCTGATCTGGCAAAAAGCTGAGCAGGCTTTAAAGTGAGAGGTCAGGTCGTTGCGCTGACCTGTTGACCTGTGGAAATGAGTCTAAACTGAGCCTCACCTGATAATCCCACAGTCAGTTATTCCATCCCTCTTGGCTTGAAAGCAAACAAGAGACATGCCGTCTGCCCTTGAACAAAGCTTACATAGGCTGAAAATCACAGTTACACAATTACAGCAGGATCATTCCGTGGCTCTTACCATCATAAAAAAACAGGTGCTGTAATGCTGAGGGAGGACTGCATGAAGCGGGTCGGCCTGAGGAAGAAAAGCTTCTCTCCAATAGGATGATCTGATTATTTAACTGTTTAGGTAAATCAGCTGGGGGGGGGGGGCTCACGGGCCCTGAGCAGCAGTGATGTGTTGTTCCAAGTGTCAAGACTGTCTGTCCCGATCCAGAAAGCCGAGGAAGCTACAGGCCAACAGTCAGGGGTTAAAGGTCACCTTATTGCACAAGGTCAACGCTGAAACCCCAGATATGACCCTGTTGCATCAGATGTACGCACAAACACGTTCCACACTAATCTCTCTCTTATCCCAGGAAGGCACAAGTCAATTGCAATGATTAAATGAGGGCCTGGTGATGAGGGGATGAGAGAGAGAGCGTGAAGGAGTCATCTACAGGGATAGAAATTATTTAAATCAAATCCCACATCCCTTTGGTGGGATAGGTTAGTGGAGACAATCTAGTATGGCTGTTTTTAAGCATGCTAGCTGCTGCGCAACAGCCTAGAAGCCAAACACAGCATGTAACAGAGAAGGGTACATGTTCTGCACAAACATATCCACGGTCTCGTGCAACAACATCCATGAATGCAAAGATTCGTACACAGACAAACGTAAGCATCTGAGCACAAACTTAATTCCGATGTGAATGAACCACTACAAGTGTGGCATTTATTTCTAATTCCACTGCAAGCAACAAACCACTATGACCTCACATCCTTGCTCCAACCCCCTCCTACCGCCATTAAAACAACATGCATACACACACATGCACAAAAAAACCCTACACACCATGAGGATGTGTGCACAACAGTTTTCCACAAATATTTACAAGCACACGTGGACTTGATTGAATTCACACATGATAGCTGCTACGTCAATAACGATGGGAATCCACAAGGTGGGTCTCGATCGTTGCTGCCCGCACTGACCCACAGTGATACGTGGTTTTTCCTAATGGAACTAAAATGGGGCCATCACTGTTATGATGTGGTTGTGCGACCAGGGGAATATTGGGTTCACTAAAATGAACAAAATGTGTTTTCTTATCAAGGCTGCAGGGGATGCAGGGG